GCCGTTCATATATTTTATTTTTTAGATTTAATTGTTTTAAATGAAATAAAAATTTGATTAATTATAAACAAATTTGAATAGATGGTCAGAGTAGGAGATAGTCCAACACAAATCAATTTGCATCACATCCAATTTCTTTTTTCCAAGAACAGCAAAATATTTTTTATTTAAATAAATTTGAGAAGTTATTTTTTAGATTTTACGGTTGATCTTGAATTAAAACAATCGATTTTAATATTTAGGATTGATTTCAAGTATCTCAAAAATTATAATTTGATCAAAAAAAATTGTAACTTTAATCCTAAAAATTATAACATGACGCATAAAAGTTATAATTTTGTAAAATTTATTTATTTATTTTTTTCTTTTTTGAAAAAAATCTTAAAAATTTATATAACAACTCACAAGATTTATAAACTCCACTTTTGTAGTCCCTTTGATATCAAAGCTAAATTTCAACTCTCGATATCATTTATAAACATTACACAAAATTAACTAATAATTAAATTTGCCCCGCGACTAAAAAAGTCTGGCTCCAACCCCCGGTGGTTGTTTGGAGGTGGTAAGTGCTAACGACGGAGACAGACTGTAGTTTAGAGGCGTAAAGGGCTTTCAAGAAAGTCTGCATGGGTACGGAACAGATGTTCCTCCCACGGGAGGTACGTGCTACGTGGCATACTTAAACGCATGCAAAACAAAGGGCAAGTTTTGTGAAGGTTTTGAGAAACAAGGACAGCTTTTCTATACAATGAATTGAAAAGCAAAAAGACAGTCACAACAAATTACTGGCTTGAAATATGTTAAAAAGCCTAGAAACGTGTTAAGAAAGAACAATAATATTGAAAATTAATTGGGAATCAACTTAATTCATCTCATTAATAGTGAACTTCAATATTAGATAGATTCTAATTACTATCGAACAACTATAATTAAAAAAGTTTTCTAATTAAATTCTCAAAACTACGATGTAAATGATAATTTTAAATTAAAAAGTCCCTGCAACATGTCTTGTACAAATTAATAAAGCCCCAATTGTTCCAACGAACTTTTGTTGAAAAACGGATAGTATATATATATATATACACTAATTATTTCTTGTGCTTGAAGGTACGAAATAATAAAAAAAATAATCAATAATAAATATATTTGTATCTACACCTAAAATCAAATTACAAAGATAGATGAAAAATAAATAAATTTAAACACCAGTTACAATAGAGGCAAGCGATGGCTGTGATGGTGGGCAGCAGTTGCGATGGATGATGACAATCAGTTGTAATGGTGGCAACTATAAGTGATAATAGTGATGGTTTTGTTGGGGGACAGTGGGGGTGATCTGGCAGGGGTGATGGTGGGATAATATCGGTGGTGATAACGTGGCAACAAACGGTGGTGGTGGGGCACTAATGGGGGTGGTGGGGGTATTGGTTATTGTGGTGGGGTTGGTGGTGGTAGAGATCGATGTTTGGTGGAATGGTTTTTTTTTTAAAGTAGTTATGAGAAGTTATAAGTATTAAAAATATTTTTAAAAAGTTATCCTAAACTAATCTTTAGGGTTTTATTTTTTATATTAAATTTGAAGTATTAATATTAGTAGTTAGATTAATTTTAAAATAAAATTTAAAGAAATTTCAACCATAAATAATAAAAGTCATTTTATTTATTTTTGAAATTTGAAATATATTTTATACATGATCATTGATACAGGACTAATACAAACAATATATCCCCAACTCACAATTTAGCATAATTCATTGAATCCAATGATATTAGAGCAATATTATTGGGACCTAATTTATTAACATAATTTATTGATCTAATTCACTATGACTTTTGCATTGACTATAAGATCCATCAAATATTGAAATTTAGTGTTGATCTAATGATTCTGCTGAAGCCACGTCATTATGTCAATAAATTAAATCAAAATTTTTAGATTCAAAATAGTATCGCTCACGATATTAACGTGACACTGAGTGTATATTTGGAATGGACAAAACTCTTGCCATTGCACGGCATAAAGACGGTGGAAGCAGATTTACAGTCATTCCTCTTTAAAAATTTTCATCTGAGCAAATTTTCAAAGAGAAAAAACCAGTTAAAAAACTTACATGTGTCAGTGCTCTACCAAGAGCTTTGGCAGATGCTCTCTCGTGATCAGAGGCTTCATGCAGAACCAAATCCAGTGAAGAAACTGGAGAAGAAGATAATGACAAGGACGACGTCGACGATGAGCGTAATAAGTCAAATGATCCGACGTCTGAGACACCTTCGAGAATATAGGGATGGGAAGGGCCAATTGACAGAGGGAAATTATCCATCAAAACCCTAAGAACCCAAACAGCAAGCCAAGTCATGAGCATGACTATGAATCGCATGTGGTCAGCCAGCCTCCACTTCTGGGTGTGCTCGTCCTTAGCGCTCGACGCCACCGCCACCAGCGTCTTTGCCGCAGTGTTCACGGTTGTCATAAAGATGGAGTTCAAAAGAGCCGAAGGCCTGGTGTTGTGGGTGTAGCCACCTCCATATTCTGCTGCTAGTGGTTCTATTGCCATGGTCGGCGTTGATGGGTCAACACAATGTTGGCGATTAAGTTTTAAGGAAGTCTCCGGAATGAATGCAATTTAAAGAGCAGTTGTGGGCTACTTTTAGGGAAAGTTCCAAATTTGGTCTGACCGGTATGAAGCTTTGGGGCATAAGGGTAATTTGGAATCTTTTGTATTTTCCTGTATATAGTATTTCGTATAGAGACGTCCTTTTTAGTTATAGTCCAGCATTGACACCTATCTTCCTTGGTCTGTCTGTATTCATGTAGAAGAGCCATCTCACCTCTGGTAGGAGGGGTCACTTTACTCCACCAGTAAGAATTATATTATCATATTTTTCTATCCAGTTTTTTGTGGAGAAAACTTTTTTTAGTTTATCTTATTCGATTAAATGTATTATTTTTATTTAAATTTTGTCCAAAATAATCGAACAAGAAGTCGAGTAATAAATTAGGTAAACACATATTTTTTAACTAGTTATTACTCGTGTTTGAAGTCATAGAGTAATAGAAAAAATAGTCAATAATAAATATATTTATATTCATACCCAAAATTAAATCACAAACGTAGAGAAAAAAAAAGAATTTAAACACCAATTGTAGTATGGGTGATCAGTGATAGTGGGGGTGGGGTGGCAGTGGTGGGAGACAATGATGGTTTGTGGTGCTTGGTAACGATCGTAGTGATGGTGGCAGTCGTAGGTGGCAACAGTGATAGCAGTGGTTGATTTTGAGTGACAATGGTGGTAGGGGTAGCCATAGGTGACGATGATGGTAGTGGATGTGGGGTGGTGGTGGGCGGTGACGATAGGTGCTTCTGGGTAATAGTGTGATGGGTGGTGGCGAATGGTAGTGGTGGTGATGGTGATAAGTGTGGTGAGGGTGGGTGACAGTGGGTGGCGAAAGTGGTGGGCAATGATAGATGATGGTGGTTGGTGTAGTAAGGGGGTGAGTAATAGTGGGGTTGGCGACAATGGTGGAAGACAACAGGTGGTTATGGGTTGTGGTAGTGGGAAGCGATGGGTGGTGATGGGCAATAATGGAGGGGGTGGAGTGTTGATGGTGGTAATGAGATAATGGTGGTTATGATAATAAATATAAGAATGAAATGACAATGATGATAAGTGGTGGCGGTGTACGACAGTGGTTCAATTAATGATAGGTGGCGATAGTAGAGGTGGTGGTGGCGGTGGTGATGGTGATTAGTGGTGCTAGGTGGTAGTGGGGGTGATGGCAACAACGGTGGTGGTGGGAGGTAGCGACAGTGGTGGTAGGTAGTGGTGATGGTGGTGATAGGGATAAATGGTGGAATAGTGACATTAATTTGTGGTAGGGTAGCGGTAGCGATAGTGGTGGAGTGGTGGCGACGATGATTAATTATTGTGGCAAAGGTGGTGGTGGTATGACAACGACGGTAGTGGTGGTAGTGATGATAGTTGTGGGGTGTTGACGGTGGCAGTGATGGTTGTGGTGGTAGTTGCGGTGGTGGGGTGGAACCGATGGTGGTAATGGTGATGATGGGATAGTTTTAAAAGTATTTTTAAAAAGTCACCTAAACACATCTTTAGGGGTCTATTTTCCTATTAAATTTGATGTGTTAATATTAGTTATCGAATTAACTTTAAAGTAAAATTTAAAGAGATATCAATCGCGAAAAGTAAAAATCGTGTTATTTATCTTTTGAAATTTGAATTATATTGTACTTTAATATATAGATTATTAATTTTTGAATTATTTCAACAATTTAATTAACTAACCTGCATCAATTAACTAAAACAATAAACCAATAGCAATAAAAAAAACACAATAAATACGTAAAAAATTACAATAAAACACAACAAGAAAGCCATAAATATCAACACATCATATATAAGAAAACCATAAATATCAATAATATCAATATATATATACCCAATTTTTTATGAAATACCAAAAGGTCTTTCATTGACCTACTAAATTCTTTAAAATAGTCGATCAATAAGATTGAATAAGATATGATAGAATAAAAATTTACCATTAATTAAAAATTTGAACAATCCTAACTCCCTCTTGTAATGATTGGTGACCCCAAAAGTAGCCTTCCTTTTCAAAGGACTAGACTTGGTTTTAACGAGTACAGTTACTCGTATTTCAAATTGTGTTCTTTGCACTGAAAATAAGCAATGGAAGTGCAAATTTTATCTTTGTAGTGTAATACAAATGATTTTTCAAGTATCAATATCATTGCCTCTTCCAATATTGACCAATCAAGTATAATAAAATTACACGACATAAAGGAGCATATAACTGATAATGTGAATTTGGTGATATTGGAGATTTAACTTACAAGCTCATATTAAAACTCATAATACATAGACGACTAAAGTTTTAAACCACTCGAAATAGTTGATCGTTTTAGTATTTTTAATCTATGGCTACTATGTAGTTGAGTTTGACATTTATCTATAAAATAAAATACATAGAATTTTGAATTCTAAAAGTAAAATGCGGTTTAGATAGTTTCAAGATAAATTAAAGAGTTATCCGACATATTACATTACTCAAATATAAAAGATAGGTTCAAATCATTTTGAAATTTATTGATCGGATGAATTAAAATGAGTCTTGAAATATTTTTTTGCCGCCTAAAAGTTTCCATAGTTGCATTCATGCCTTCAATCACTCCACTAAATATGTGATTTCTCTCATTTCCAAATTGAGCTTTCCAACGTTTAAATCTATATTGATGGGTCAAGCCCAAATGGCCAAATCCATGGAAAAAAACCCAAGTTTATAGAAGACTAAATAAGCCCTATGAGTTCCAAGACAATCAAGCCCATCAAGGAGCTACGGAAAGCATCTAGGAGTTATACCCTTGTCCGTTGAGGAAGAGGAGAGGTCGCGCAGAAAGAGGAGAGATCATCAACTATTAAATAGCCCCCGGTCCGTTATAACCGTCAAGCTACTCAATTATTACGCAGACTTCTATATTGTAAGTTTCCACAACAGTTGGGGGGCATCTCAACAAAATCAAGCTCATCTCCTTTTTTCTTGTAATTCTTGCTCTCCCAACGCATCAAAGTCAATAAAATTTTCGGTCAATCTAGCCATTGAAAGTGGACGTAGGTCTCATTGACTGAACCACTATAAACCTTATTTTCTCTCTTCCTCTATTACTGTATTTTATATTGTTTAATTGATGGGTGGTGTGCAACTTCATTTTGTGCATCATCATATATAATAAAATTTAAAGGATTTCAAATCTTTTACAGATATAAAAATATTTTTTACTTTTTATTATTCAGATGATTTTAGAGTATTTATCCAATGGACATATTCTTTTCGATAAAAAACAATTCGGCAAAACTTTTCATATTTTTTTTTTTTTGCAATTCACACTACTAAAATTTATATTTTTTTCCTCATTTCACGCCCAATAAAAATTAAACTTTATACACGCCCTCCCCCAGTCCCCCCACCTCGGTCATCATTCTCACTCTCCCGCTTCTCTGTCTCTCACCTAGAATCCATCTCTCCCTCCCAAACTGATGGTCGACGCATTCAATTTCATAGGGATGTTTTTTTTCTCTCTCTCTCTCCTACTCATCTTCTTCGAATCTATTACCATTATATCCCATTTATCAAACTTTTTTACCGATCTACTGCCGTTTTTAACTTATTTACCAAACTATCGCTGTTTTAAAAGTGAATTTGGCAAATTCGACTTCATGGGGAAAGCGAATTTGTCAAATCCGACTTCATTTGAAAAGCGGATTTGCCAAATCTGACTTCAATTGAAAAGCAGAGTTGGTAAATCCGACTTCATAGGGAAAGCGGACATACCAAATTCGTCTTTATATAGAAAACGGACATACCAAATTTGCCTTTATATGAAAAGCATACTTACCAAGGTGCAAACCTTTATATGTATAATTGTGTTGATCGCCAAAAGAGTATTTGACTATTTATTGAATACGTTTGATATCTCTGATTCTATATTCTTTGTGAATAAATTACTCACATTTATTAGTCGTTAAAAATCCACTAATAGATTCTATCTAAATTTATTAGTTATAACCCGTGCCTGAAGACACGATAAAATGTAAAATTCGAGCATCTAAAAAATCGATTTCACTATATTAAATTTTTTTAAAATATATTAATTACAAATTAATCTAATATTAAATAATTAAATATATGATAGAAATGAGTTATTTATTTTTTAGGAAAAAAATATATAAAATCAAGAATTTCGGGTGGTATCCCAGTAAGAAAATTAGATGAAATATTAAAAAACGGATTTGATATGTCTGCTTTCTAAATGAAGTCAGATTTAGTATATTTATTTTTCTTATAAAGTCGGATTTGTCAAATCCGTTTTTTCTAAAAGGTCGAATTTGTCAAATTTACCTTTTAAATGAAGTCGAATTTTTTAAATTCATTTTCTCCATGAAATTGGATTTTTTAAATTTGTTTTCTCTATAAGTTAAAAATAACTGTTAATTGATAAATAAGTTTGATAAATGAAATAGATCGGTAATAAATTCCATCTTCTTCTCCCGCTTTCTATCTCACTTTCCCACCATCCCCCCAATCTCCCCTCTCATTCTCTACTCCTCTCCTTTTCTCTCCTCTGACTTTCTATTCTCTCTGGCCCTTTCTCTGTCTTACGCACGTAGACAAACACAACACTCACGCACAAATCACATAGCACATACATCCCTGCTAAATTATGTCTCTGTCATTACTCTCTCCCCTGACTAATCCCCTGCCCTAATTTCTGCCATGCCATCCTCAACTACGACTACAACGAAGTTGAAACCACTCCAGAGCTAATTCCTAAAACCCTAACCCTTAACCTTATTAGATAAGAGACGCCATCCACCAACGGCGACCATGATCGGCGAGGCAACTCCCTTTCTCTCTCAACGGTAAGGAATCTTGTTCAGGAGATTATGAAAGGTGAGTAATTTCAAGTCCTAAAATCTTTACCCCAACCCTTGACCTTACCAGGTAACTCTCTTTCAACGG